CTCTTGTAATTCACAAGGCGCCTCTCGTCCAAAGATCCAGAGTCGCTCATTTGTTGAATTTTCCGCTCCAAATCGTCAAAGACGCCGAGAAGATTATCTGGCATCTTGTAAGCCAAGCGCTGCAATTCCGTGATACTTTCGGCTTGCAGATCCTTGATGGCTTCGTTGTAGTATTTGTACTCTGGCTGTGCGGCCGGCCAGGTCACCAATATGTGCTCGAGAACCACCAACATGAAGCGGTTGTTCTTCCTTAGAGCGGTGGTTGAGAAGGCGACAAGAAGCTGGAGGACGCGTTTCCTGATTAACGGATCATCAAACTTCATTTCGATCAGACGAGTGCACCAGTTTTCCAGGGTTCCATTCAGCTGTTGCCTTTCTAACTCGAGTGTCGCTTCCTGCTGTGGGGTGGCGCCCCTTGGTAGACTTGATCTCACGTAGCCTTTGAGCGCCGACTCAATGACGGTAAATTGTGCGTCGACTCGAAGGTAAGGCATGGAGTTCTTGACATAAGTTGCGGGGTCAAAAGCAGGCTGGCCATCGTATAGGTGCTCAAGCACATGTTCAGTCTGCCCGAGAATGTGATTGATGGCGTCAGACAGTGTCAACTCAACGATGGTCTCAATGATTTGTGATCCATAACGCCTGTAATTGCCCAAGAAAGCATGCCGCTCTGGAATCGTATCTGTGTCTTCCAATAGCAGCATCAACGTAGGGTCCTGTGTATCCTCTGGCAAGCTCTCATATCGGACCAGCCTTGAGCTGCAAACTTCCAAGAGTGGTGCGACGAGAGGAGTCTTTGCTATCGAGGGCCCCAGAGTGCGGTGGTTAAGCAGTTTGGTCCAAGTAACCAGGACGGGAATGGAGACGACCAGACTCTGGCTTTGCGTGACTTGAATGAGGAAATGAAGAAAAGGTTGGATGTCAGCCCCAGGGGGCAGGCAGTGATATTTTTTGTCCAAGTAATTGCCCAGATGAGAGATTGTCTACCAAGATTTAGCACGCAATTTGACAATTTGAGCGGAACCATTTTCTCACCTCTGAAAACTTCTTTGCGAAAAGATATTTGTCATCATCAATGTCCTCGGCGTCTACTGTCGACCAAACAAACAGTTGCGAGAAACGCTCCACGCACTGCTCGTCGTACATGGGCATGACTAAAGTCAAGAACTGCTGGTCGTTGAAGCCGCCTCTGGCATACAAGGCATGGAGAGCTTCGAGAGAACCCTGAAGCAGTCAGTTTAGTAGGCCGTTGGAGAAACCAGTAAAGACGTACCTTTTGAACGGCGACATGAGATGCCACAAGCCCATCATATAGGTAGCGGACAGCGTTGGACTGGATGATGGCGCCCAGGAAGGTCCATGGCAGGATGACGGTGAGCATAGAAAGTGCCTTGCTGGCGCAGGTGCGTATTTCCTCGTTCTGTATGTCTGAAGCCAGGCACTCGCTCAAGAGGGCCACTGCCCGCTGGAACCAGCCCTCGTCTCCATACCGGACAGACACACCGGGTGTCCGATTCGGAAAGTCCTCGGCTATGACAGTAGTAGGCATGAATATGTCGACAACAGCCTTGTCCAGAACGTCTTCTCGTGCGGCAACGACGGGATCGTCGCCCCCAATGACCTCTTCGGAAAGTGAGCTGAGCACTGACAGGACAAGCTCCTTGTGAACGCCGAAGCCAGGCAATTGCCAGAGCTGGACCAGCATAGCATCCATATCCATCCACTCGGCGCCCCAGCACCTCTTTGCGACCTCGACCCAGAGCTGAGCGATCTTATTCCGAATGTACTGAGGGTCTTGCCTGGACACGTGCTCGGCTAGGTCCAGTACCCATTGCCTCAGACAGGCAGCCTCGTCGGTCCCATATTGTGCCCACTTGTGTATGATGGAGTGTTCGAGGAGGGAGAGACCGTGGTATCGTACGATGGGGGACTGCTGTTTGTCGGAGGCGAGGGTGAAGCCATGGGAAGGCCCCTCCTTGAGTGACTTGACACTTTCAAGAAAGTTCTGGGCATCGATGCGTGACTCGTTGGATGATCGAGCGTTGTAGACAATCTCGAGGGCACTGAGAATCTTGGGGACGATGTCACCGTTGGCCAGCCCATTGGCGCCATTTGTGGCACCCAAGGCGAAGGTGCCGTTGGAAGGCAGGGTCGCCATGTCTTTGAAAGTTTTGGCGGTCGCAAGCGTTGCGAAAAGCTGTTTACCTCTCACACTGAACGCGAGACTCAAGTAAACAATCACCGCTATGCCATTGCAGTATGTCCAGGAAGGTGAGAAAGGGGCGCTGAAGTGGATGGCGCCGAAGTTGGACGATATCAAGCGTTCGTTTGCTCAGGAAGGGTAGGGAGTTGTGGCAGCAACAGACAGACTGGCGTTTGTTTGTTGGCAAGTGAGCTGATTGTTTGATTTTCAAGAGCAGAGCAGAGCAGGATCAAGCCTCTGCCAAAGCAAGGCAAGTATGAAACAGGTTTGCTCTCGAATGCACAAAGTCGCGACGCGGTTTGCAAAGATATTGACTTGTCAAGTCAAGTTGGTGGAGGGGAGCACTTCCTGTCTGCAGGTCATAGGTCACTGGGAATTTTGGGCGCGCTGGGAGCGTGTCTTAGAGCTGCACACTGGCTCCACCTTTGACGTGAGCTGCAGGGGTCAACCACCTCAAGGATCAGGGGACTTTGAATTCCTGGTTGACGTTCACAACCACCCCCTTCCCGTCAATTTGCCTCTTCATGTAGGTATTTCTTAAGATTAACTTGCTTAAATCCTTGAGTAGAAGGTATTGATTTATCTCAAAGTTTGAGATCTCTTGCATGAATATTCAATGAGATCAATGAGACTGGTTGTACTCAAACAACTGTAAGGCTGCCTTGATGCCCAACCAGGTAAATTGCTAATTGCTGGCTTCATATGTCTTGGAATAGGGACATATCAGTCTTGCCTACTTTCAGCCCAGTGATGTTTGACATATCATTGATTCCCAAGAACCAGCAGTCTTTTTTCATTTGCCTAATGAATGAGCCTGCAGGTCTCTATTAGATCCTGTAGTGGAAGTCTACGTGGAGGCTACAATTCCGGAAAGCATGTCTCCTTCTGCAGAGATCTGGCGTTAGTTCGGTGGTACGATGCCACGGCTCCTCCATTTGAACTTTGGTTATCTGTGAAATATGCCGTTCTCGGTCGGTCAGGCTGAAATTTCACCATCATATTGAAGCTAGTTTGTCTCACTCTGTCGATGTGTTGTAGCTTAGCTAGGTGGTAGCTGAGCTAATGGGGCTTACAGACCTCGGGATTCATCAGACGTTTGCATATAATTATGCTCATAGAGTTGTAAGTCTGACAGTTCGGATATACCATATAGATCATACCGTAAAGGTAAACCATGGCTGAAGGTAACTTTTGTATAGCATGATAGATCTTGAATTCACGTGGTAGTATGCTCCTAGTATCTGCTAAGTACCAAGATTTTCCTCCACGGGCTGTGTGTTGCTCCCCTGTATACCTCTGTACCACGAGTATCTCAACAGTGGGATCTTTATAATCTTTTCAATAAAGAAGCAAAGAAACCACAGCTTGCAAGATCTCGTTTTCTACTTTAGAGATTCGCTTGTATTGTTCCTTCCGGTCACGTCTGGTGTCACCGGCGCCCTGGTTTTCCTCTGCGAGCATGAGAAAACAATGTTTGCATCACGGCTCCAACACGTTGGACTTTCACGCGGATGGCAATATGCTATTTGCATTTTCTGTGCTCCAAACTACGTATATTATCTACAGAAATGAAAAATTGCATGTCATTAACAGGCGGGGTAAAGACAAGGTAGGTAGACATGCTTCGCAACCATGTCAGACAAGGCCTAGGAAGCGATACAGGGGTCGCTGGGCCTACTCGCGGCCCGCCCGAAACTTTTCCTGCTCCAAACTAGAATTCTACACCTGACAGTCTGCTCGCCATATCGCAAAACACAACAGTCGACTCAAGGCACTGGAAGCAAGGCGGGAAATCTCTCATTCTGCTGTTCAACGAGACGAAAAATTCACCAAGATGAGCGGCAAACAGACAAAGCAGATGAGCGATGAGGAGGTCTCGGCGGCCTTTACCTCATTCTACCTCCAGCGCGCAACCCAAGAATTTTCCGAGGATCTTGACAAGATCCGCAACGCCGACGACTTTAGAACCGATGCGATTCCCGTCCTCATCAATGCATTATCGCAAGGAACATCTATGTTTTCACTGGCGGATCAGCGCAGAATTGTTGCAAAGGAGGGGCCGGCCGAGAAATCGGGTTGAAGCGTATGTGGGTCCTGGGACAAGGCCGCATGAGGGACGGAGCAGACTTGAAGATGTGCATCACCATCTAGGGAAGGATGAGCTCGAAGAAGAGGGATGCACAAGTTGATAGAATGACTGTCCGTGTACCATTTCTGCTATCTCTGTATGTAATAATTTGCGGGGGGGGCTTTGCGTCTCTCATTACAAAGTGGCCCACTCACCGGTACCACTACAGACATGGAACACCAGGCGTGGCCAACAGATTCGACAATATCTAATGCAACCCTATCACTAAGAAAAGTAAAGTGAGCAACGACTGCAGCGCCCAAGTAAGCCGAGTGCTATGTGATAGTCTGTCAAGCAACTACAGTCTACATGGCTCACTCAATTCTGACCCAGCTACCTGCGAATGTATCTAACAAAACTCAAGCATACTTAATCTCCGTTATGCGTCCGACTATAACAGTTCCTTCCGAATGTGACCCTCAAAAATGAACACATCGTTGGAAACGGGTGTGTGCCCTTATGCATGAATGGCTTCGGCCAACCACCTAGAAAGAAAACGACGCTGATAAGGTTCGAACTTATACCTCCGAAGAAAATGAATATCTGAATGAATTGTTCATGGCTATCTGACAATTCCTTCCGAATGCGCCTCCCAAAAATGCAACAATGTCCCTGAAAAGTGGTTGCGAATGTGCATCGTCGGCTTCAACCAACCACCCAAAAAGCAAGCGACGCTGACAAGGTTCGAACTTGTGCCTCCGAAGAGAATAGATATCTGAATGAATTATTCAAGTCTATCGCGTTAGACCACTCCGCCACAGCGCCAATTTGAATGTGTTTGAAGCCGGAAATAAGATATTATGTTGTGGAGAATGCTGGCTGGAGTCAAGTCTCCACTCGGATTTCGGCCCCGGAACAAAAGAACCCGGCCCTGTATACTAGATACCGTGATATATACGAGGCCGGTAAGTGACACACACTCTCCGCTATAGCGCGTTAAAATGCGATCTACTATCATTTTCAAAATCACGGACTCGTGGGGGATGTGGACTAAGATGAGTTTTCCGCTTACAATCCGGCCCCGGACATCAAAGTCCGTGATACACAACCTGTCAACGCCCAGCGTCCTTACCAGCTCAACTGTGGATGAAGTGATATTGAAAGTGTTTGATCCTCAACTGTCGTAGAAAAGATTCGCTTCACAGACTGGAGAGTTCATGCAAGTTTGAGCTTCTCAGTAGATGTAAGAGGCATGTAATGAAGATGGCATGGTTCAGTAGACTTGGTCTATGTATGGAAGTGAATCGGGATGAGCGCCAATATACAATCTACCTAGGTATTCCCAAGCCTGTAGCAGAATATTAGAAGATTATTCCTTTCAAATAGGCATCTCTTACAATGTATTTCGAAAATACGCCCGGAACGATGAAATGAACTCATCATAAGTCGGGGTTGCTGAGCCATATCCGTGAGCATCGTTGGACCAGGGTCACGTACCCCCCCCCCCCACCAACGCGAACGAGCAGGGCTATTTGCCCAGTGATGGCTTACGATGTATTATACCACAGTTGGAACAGCGGACTTCCCCCGAAGTCGTGCATTTTCAACAGTACGTTATCGTCTCCTGTCAGAAATCAGCAATAAACAAACAATGAGGTGGTGTGTGACGGTGGTGCACGAGGCTCTACGAATTGTGAAGGAATTTTTAGGTCGTGACTAAAGATTTAACAGCCTGAAAAGTACGGAATATCCTGTATACGACCTCTATATATACGATAAATCTGCAAAATTCAATAAAAATTCGTTGGGTATGACCTTTTTCCGGTATTCTACACGATGCACACTGTATGACTACGTGACAACGACTGTAAAGGTGAGTTTTGTACCTATTGACGGCAGCACCAAAATTAGATACTATCTAGGTATTAAGTCTCATGTTGTATCGAAACTTCATAATACTAAAGCAAGTCTCTTACCTACTTCCCAGTCACTACCTCACTCGATGGTGTCCTGATGCTCTGCTCATCCACATCTTCTGTCTCAGACTCTGCATACTCCTCCAATTCCCCAGGACAACGAAATACTTGATAACCCAATACCAGCTCCACTTGAATATAGTCCAGGGGTACTGGAACAGAAAATTGCGCGTAGAAATCCAAGTCAAGGTGGACAGGGTAGTCCTGCCGAGTATTTTGCCTATGCGCATGTCTGTCTGAAGACGCGACAACACGAAAGAATTTACCATCCACCCCTCAAGTCTTGAATCAGCAAAAAAACATAGTAGCGTGTATATGAGCCACAAGAAACATCCAGAAGGTGATCGTGATTTCTGACTTCCGGATGTGCGAGCAATGCCAGAGGCTTTGAACGGCGAACATTAAGATTGTAACAATGATAGTAGGTAAGAAGGATGAAAATGACTGTGCACCATGCAGTTGTTCGAGCTCATCATCGGGCGTCTTAGAGATTGAACTTTCGAAGAGCATTAACAGGCCTCTCTGCGGTGTTGCTAATCGTACGGAACTCAATATTTGCTGAAATTAGGGGGGGTGGAATGGGCGTGCGGGAGACCCGGCTTAGATACTTAGGTAAGTGGTCGGATCGCATGGCAGCACCGACATTATACGTGTGCTCGATAGTGAAATACATTCGAAGGCTTGGCTTGGTATCCTGGCTACAACCACTTTCAAAGCCTCCTTTGCCATTGATCGCAGGTAGAACCTCAAGTAACGCGCACAGATTACCTAGGTAGGCTAAGCAGACCTATCAAGATGGCTCTGACATTCTGCATGCCTGATCATGAGCCTGTTCTGGTCCAAAATTGGTACATCAAGTTAGATAGATTCATCCTTGTAGTGGGTAGTTGTACCGAAGTCATCTTGATTTATATTGCTCGGTTGATTCGAGATCAGTTTGACAGAAAATAGAGGTTGAAGTCGCTAAGGAAAACTTGCGATTTAAAGAAAACACCCAAGCTTCTTTTGAAAAAGAATTCAGTACAACTATTCTGATTTGTAGCAGCGTTCTATTGGCGCAAAGTTCTCTTGGGTATATCTGCTTAGGCATGCCTACGAACTAGGTGAGGCCAACAGCGAGCATTGGCCGCCTCTGCTCTCACCCGCAATTCCGTACGGTCCTTGGACTCGCTTCATAAATCCACTCCAGCATAGTTTTTGAATCCATCGAGCTCAGTCATTCTTGGGAATGACTATTGACCTGATGTATAAAGTTATGCCTTGCGCAGAAGGCTTCATATGTACTGGCGACGAACTCTGACCACCGCCAAGCTGCGTTGGCGGGTCTCGCGGACTTCGTCAAACAGACATGCTATACGAATGACAGTTTACAGTATCTGGCCTCTCGCACGAAATCTAAGATCAGATAATGCGGGTAAATGGCTAGCTCATACATGATATTCACACTTTGTTTGTGTCTTGTAGCCCAAGAGATTTTCGCGGCCCACCTACATCGTGAGCGGCCCCGTGCAATCACAACCTTATTCTGCACTTTCTTTTTTTCTTTCCCCCCCAAAAAAAACCCCCGAAAATTCACCCTTGTTGCAAGGAAAGGTCCTCCTAAAGCTGTCAAAGTCCGATGGTGAGCAAATCGAACGTATGCAGCCAGACTCCTCACCACGCCTACCTTCAAGTCCGCCCATACGAAGTCTGAACAGACAATCTGCGGCGACTGCGGCGGTCCCCGGCTGTCGTCAACACATTACGCGGATTAGAGTAATTCGAACCAGGAAACATCCAAAGGGCCCCAATGCAGCATTACTTATATTCGCTGTGTCTAAGAATTCCAGGGATGTCGCACTGAATGACGCTTTTAATAACTTTGGATTGCAAAAGTACACCAAGACACTGGTAGCGCGAGGCAGAAAGACTTGTGCAGGAGGATTGAATCAAAAGTCGAACTTAAGGCAGTTCTTATTTGGCCATACAACTATCTTGCTTGTGCATTGTGCTATGGCCTTAGGTGGGGAATTGTATCATGGGACAGGCAAGTACTTAAAAGAAGGTGTGTCAAGGTAGTAACGTGCGAACAATCTCAGCAGACGAAGGCATACAGAATGGCTGCGGGTGAAGTTGCGGGTGAATTCTGGACGTCTATCGCAATCTGATTGAATGGATCGAACTGGAGGATGTGGAGGGAATCAAATATGAGCTACTGGAAAGGGAGCATAGAGGTGTCAGCCTCGGAAGAGCTACGCTGTTCCTGTCACATTGATCAACAAGCAACAAGATATGCTCTTCAAACATTCTCACATAGAAACAATCATAAGGAGCTGTAATTGTTCTCAGTATCATTTCAAGTCCCGTGTGGAGTGTTCTATTATGAGTCGTTCTATATTCATCCTGCTGCTTATGATTTGCTAAGAAGATTACAGTCTACGTTGATACCTGGCTATAGGCATGTATACTAGAAGGGTTGAATAACTTCGGTGTTTGGCGTAGAGAGGGAAAGGGAAAGGATAATTCTGATCCCTTGGACATAGGCTCTACTATCAGAATGTGGAGTGCTGGTTGGCATCGAGGACTAAGGTTCAATGTCGACATGCAGCACGCCCCCCACGATGAGAAGGACGTGGTCAGAAAGTAATTTAACTGCTGTACAAGATGACCCGGAGTGACCGCATATCAAGAACTGATGACCCTCATGATACTTAGGAGACAGAAAGAATTAACAGAAATGAAGTTCAACAACACTCAAAGAGCATGACTTGATGAAGCATAGGTATAAGATCCTATTTTATATGCATCCATTTGAGCAAAACCAAACCAGTGAGTTTTGTGATTCAGTGACGCTGCTTTAGCTTCCAGCCAGTGTCTTGTTGTTTGTGGGAGGAGAACGGGCTGGCTCCGGTTAAGCATCCAATTATAAACAATTGCTTAAGTAATTTTTCAGATTACTTGAGCTTTCGTTGAAATCGAAGAGCAGAACGAAGTTGAGCAACGAGAGAAGATCTGAGAGCATCAGTGATCTTGAATGCAGGCGAACGCAGCCGTACATTCTCCTTGTCCGTTGCGTATTCCGGAAGGCCCCAGTGTGAATCTTGCTCTCCAGAACATGACTCGAGTTCCCCCTTCATCTTCATCAGCGGACAGTACGGAGCTTTTGAGGCCGTGAACGTAAGACTCATCCGCGTCAGCTTTTCCAAGGATTGAGTTGGTAGAATCAATCATGCGTGGCTGGTCTAGAACATGGCCGAGAGCTCCTCGCAGATTTGCACACCAAAAGTCTTAACGAGTGTCTCCATTCATCCTAGAATGTGGAAGGGCTGAGTAATGCAATGAACTCGGCCAGTCTTCGTCACACATGCAGCTGGCTGGAAAGCATTGCTGTAATAGCATATTTGTACGTCTTCGTTATTGAAAAAGCAAGAGAAGTAATGCTAGTTATCAAAACTCTGTAAGTGGCGCGGATAGGCTCAAGCAGGGTTGGCAAGCTAGCGAGCAGGCCAGGGTCGATAGCAGGACCGCCATATTAGAACAAAGGCAGACAGGCCTTATATAAATCTCTTTGCACGAAAACGAAAAATTGATCATGAGGATCATGAGGATAATTTTTCGAAGACAAAAATGATCACCAAATCGGGGAGTCGAACCCCGAGCTCCGCGGTTGTTCAAGATACCTTGAAAACGCGGGATGTTAACCGTTACACCAATCTGGTTGCTTTTGTTCGCTGATGATTATTGCTATGTCGCCGCCAATTTATCCTCATCCTCATTTACATGAGGATTCTCAAAAACATTCCTCGTTGTCTTTAAAGGCACTTGTAATGGTAAACATTCTGTACTGTTCTTAGGTAGACAGTGGTAGACATATGCCGCTAATTAAATGAACCTACAAATGTCAAAATCAGACTTCCTTGCTAAAAACCCGAGATATGATTATTAAAGTCCTTCGATACCTCACTAAAACCCGAGTATGGCCATTTGTGTAACTGCTGGGCTAGTCGTACTGTATGCGAATCGAAGATGCTACATGCTGTTAGATAATAGGTACCTTAGGGAAGATGGAGTGCGCAAGCATGCGTTCCCAGAGCAAAGCCCATACAATTCTGCGAAGGCGCGATCCGCCGGTATGAAATTCAGCTCACTAGGTACCCTATCGCATCCACATGCCACCAATGAAGATGACCGGATCTTGATCAAATTTCACGGGTTTTTCTTGAATTTTTTTTTATGCATTCAGCCGTGAAGGGCAGCGTCAGCGTGGTAGTCACATTCAAAGTCAGTTTCACCCGGAAGTGCTGCAGGAGCAGGTGCGCCAAGTAAATCCGCTGCCGCCAGCTTGGTAACAACTAGAGACATCGGTGACATCTCATCTGCTTTGGCAGAAGATCAGATACTTCAGAGGGAAAGCATATTCATATATATATATATGAATCTCTATATGGTCTGCAATTCATGCGGACCGAGCTTCATCCTGTAAGACTGCCACTTAAGAGCAAGTCTCCAGCAATACTGTGATGCAACTAGCATAGGACACTACGACGTGATGCAAGAGAAGGTCACGAGGGTCTGCAAGCTCCCAAGATTGCATCCTGGGAAGCAGCTCTATTCATATGCTCATGACTGTCTTTTTTGGCCTCTCTGACTAAGCCTCTTCTAATGCATAATTTACAATCACAGCACGCAGGCCGCCTGTGATGTTGATACCACTTCTGTGTCTGGTGAATTACACAACTTTTACGCAGCCCACACATCTTGACCCGACTTCTCGATCCAGTTGCCCAATTGGTTAACGCTGCCGTCCCACTCGGCCAGTCTTAGCCGCATGCTGTCGATTTGCTTGAAATCCAGCACCTTGGGCTGCACCCAGTTGATGTTGGCCACCTCATCCACCTGGTCGACCGTGCCTCGCAACAGACCCAGACTCAGCGCCTTCATAACCAGGTGCTCAATCTCGTGAGGCTTGACCTTGGTCTCGTGCTCGATCGTCGCGAACGACATGGCGCGCTCGTGAGGTGGCCGGCGGAATACAGCCTCCGTCAGCGCTGCCAGGTAGAGCTTTTCACGCAGTTTTTCCTTGTACTGAGACAGCAGCGGATCCGAGTCGATACTGCCGGACAGCACGTCGTATTTGGTCAGGTCGCCCGCATTGAAGATAAAGAGGAGCTCGCGCAGCCACTGGTCCTTCTTGTCGTTGAGCGCATCCAAGATCGGGTGCAGCAGCAGCTCACCAAAGTTGTAGATACTTGTGGACACCAGCGCTGAGGTGGCCAGGTCGTATGCGCGCTTCCGCCGCTCTGCATCATCCAGGCTCTTGATGTCGATGCAGGCCAGATACAGAAGAGCGTTGCGGTAGTAGGATGCGAAATCCTGCTTCAAGTAGTAGTAGGCGGCGTTGACCTTGTAGAATGTCGCGTGCACGACTGTCTCGACCGAGTCAAACACATCCAGCTTCTTCTCGGCCTTCTGGAGGTCCTTCTGTGCGTCATCCAGCCTGCCAAGATCCAACTTCACGTCTGCCACTGCCACTGTCGCATAAACGTAGGCGTTTCTTGAGTTTGGATCCTCCTCTTCATCAGCATCTTTCTTATTCTTCTTCTTCTCCTGCTCAGGATCGACCTTTTCTGCGACAAGTTCCACGAAGGCGAGGCGCTCTTGAAGATCTGTTTTGCCGTTAGCACGTGAAGGTTGGGGAGGATATGAATGTGCGTTGCGCACCTTGACATTGTGATGCCGCTTTCAGCGCCAGGTCGACAAGCTTGAGCTGGTTGATCTTGTCGGCAAATTGAAGGACGAACTTGTTGTAGATGGCCATGCGGAAGCGGCCACTGTCGGGGTGGTTAAAGATGGTGATGAGAAGCTCGGTCAGCTCGTGCCATAGCTTCTGCTCCCAGAGATCTTGCAGTCTCAGGGTATCGGCCTGCAGAGGCTCCGAAATCTCGGAGAATACCTCCTGCAGGAAGGACTGTGTAGCCTCGTCGTTGGACATGGTGCCGTTTGTAGAAGGCGAGGGCCGCAGGTGGGATGGATTGCGTTCTCGGAAACTCGGGTAGGGCGAGATGTGAGGGGCGATCGCAGCAGTAAAATGTTGGGTGTTTTTGTGTTTGCGCGCGTCACCTTTGTTGGCGCAAATTAGGGGATGAGGAGAATAGTAAAGGAAAGGATTCTGGCGTATGAGGGTTTGGAAGCTGTTGACGTCGGGTCCATAGGTCGACGCGGCTGGGATGCAGCCTGGTGGACCGAACCACCTTCTGAAAGCTACCTCAGCCCCCCCCAGTGTAAAATACCCTAAGTTCACCCAAACTCCACACGGGGTTTATGTCAGCCAAATCGTCACGGAACTGGCCCGAGCGTTCGCCGGCCAAAGTGCTTGGGAATTGGTTGCATCTGGTTGGAGCTCGCGACTTTCAAGATCCAGCCTTCCACGACTCCGCGACGACGTCGACCAACCCATTGAACACAACCACAGCCTTCTTGCGATCCCGAACTCAGCAAGGATGGCTTCCCTACCCACCGCCATGCGGTCATCCCCCAAGATCGCCCGGAAAGCCCTCCAGCAGAGGTCGATATCAGATGTCGCAATTACACGCACGGGGAAGCCCATTCTTCGGGTTCAGGGTGGAAGGTCAGTCGTGTCTGGAGTGCTACGAGAAGGGCTTTGACTGACATTTTACGGAACAGATCATCACTTGGTGGTACGAAATCTATCGATCATTGTCCAACATTGGCGAGCGAGCGATTTGTCTGATCGAGATCTATAGGACACACTGCGACGGTCTTTGGTGCAACGGGACAGTTGGGAAGATACATCGTGAACAGATTGGGTACGCTCAATGCTTTTCTCAGACACTCCAAATACCGGAAGGCTGACAGAATATGGGTGCAGCTCGCGTCGGTTGCCAGGTTGTGATACCATACAGGGAGGAGATGACCAAGCGGCACTTGAAGGTGACCGGTGATCTCGGCAGGGTGGCCTTCATTGTATGTGCAATATCTACGCGGAAACCACGGCTCAGCTGCTGACTCTGGGATCAGGAATACGATCTGCGCAACACCGAATCGATCGAGGAGGCCGTCAGACACTCAGATGTCGTCTACAACTTGGTCGGTCGACAGTACCCAACAAAGTACGTTTCAGGGCTTCTTAGAGAGCGAATATATCAGTAGCTGATGTGAGATGCAGGAACTTCTCTTTGGAGGATGTTCACGTTGAAGGCACAGCTCGGATTGCCGAGGCGGTGGCCAAGTACGACGTGGACCGGTTCATTCATGTCTCCTCTTACAACGCCGACCCGAACTCGCCGGCCTCCTTCTTCGCAACAAAGGGCAAAGGCGAACAGGTTGCACGAAGCATTTTCCCTGAGACGACCATCGTCCGACCCGCGCCGCTATTTGGTTTTGAGGACAATCTGCTGTTGAGGCTTGCGGGTCTCACGAATCTTTTCACGTCGAACAACATGCAAGAGAAGTACTGGCCGGTGCACGTGAGTATTCGAACTAGTATACCAGTCCAACCTTGTCGAAATCTGACTTTGTCTCCAGTCAATCGATGTCGGCCACGCTCTGGAGCTGATGCTCTACGATGATACTACTGCCTCGCAGACCTACGAGCTGTATGGACCCAAGCAGTACTCCACCGCCGAGATTGCCGAGATGGTCGACAGGGAAATCTTCACCAAGCGCCGACACATCAACGTGCCTCGGCAGATCCTCGAGCCGGCTGCCAAGATCTTGAACAAGCTCCTCTGGTGGCCTATGCTGTCAGCCGAGCAGATTCAGATGGAGCACATTGATCAGGTGATTGACGAGAAGGCGAAGACGTTCAAGGACCTGGGTATCGAACCTGGTGAGATCAGCAAATTCACATATCAATATGTCGTAAGTCCGAAACTCCCCAAAATTCGAATATGTCAAGATACTGATAACATTTGTAGCAAGGGTTCCGGAGCGGTGCATTCTACGATCTGCCGCCGGCGAGTGAGAAGGAGAAGAGAGAGGAGAGGAAGTACTTGCACGTCCTGGATGACCAATAGAAAAGAAAAGACAGATTTGGGTGACCGGCGAGGCGGGTTGGTCTGTTGTAAATATGAAACTAGAGTTCTATGCGTCTTCAATTCAAGAAAAGAATACACAATATCACACACATTGCTGTTTGAGGCGTTGTAAGTTGCCGTTGCTACATGGTTTATGATTTTGTGCTGGGTCGTCCCACTGCGGAGAGACTATCACTAAAGAACCCTTCAACTCAAAATTTCTGCTACTGAATTTCATACATGACATGGGATTTTCAAACCGATATAACGTAGCACATCCACAAGTTTATTTACCTCATTTCCAAATCCAAGGCTGAGTCCTGTTTCAACTCTAAGATAGCCTTTTTTTGTTTTTCAAAACACCTTCTCCATCTCCTCCTCCAGGCTAAAATGGCCGACAGCGACGATGAACCCTTGTGAGATGCACACCTTCATCCTCTGCCCAATTGACGTCCGGCCCACTAATACATTACCTCCCCTTAGGACCCTCTCTTCCCACGCTCTCGACGCGCTCAAGGAGTTCTACACCGAGCGTGATGCGCGAGCGAAGCGTTTCGAGGAGCTGCAGGCGGAAGCCGAGGAGAGAGCCAAGGCGGGCGCTGAGGGAGGAGCTGCTGCAGCGTCGGGCGCCGCGTCAGGGCTCAAGTATCCGCTGAGTATGGAGACATTTGGGGAGGATTGGA